ACTAAATCAAGGAGTTCTTCTTTCTTTAGAATGTACTCAGGAGGGATGTATATAGAGCATATGGTAAGTTTGTTAGGGCAGTAAGTTGTGATGGCGACAGCTTCGAGATTGGTAGTCACAGTAAGAAGAGTGAAGTAATGGTCTTAAGAGGCAAATATGGATGCACCTCCACTAGCTCTGCAGCAGACAGATCTGATGTACTGATACCCTTTAAAATCTTTTTGTATATGGAGATTAGTTGACGTAAAGTTTGTTTTCTGTAAGCAAATGAAAGTGGGATCGTAAAGAGATATGAGTAGCTGCAGACGTTCTAAGCGCGGATAGTATCTGTCGAAATTCTTCAATGGAATTATAGTGAATATCAAAGTTATAAACTAAGGCAGGTCGGTTTTGTCTAAGGTAGATCACTGCCGACAGATTTAACACATGCAAGACTAGCAGTGTCAATAACATGGTTTATATTTATCGTAGCCTAATTTTTTTTTTTTTTTTTTAGGTGAGTTATGATTTTTAACTGATCTATCAGAGATATTATGGTAGATATGTTCGAAGTCTTCAAAAAGGGCGTTAATGTTCGTGGTAAATTGGTATACTTAAGATAAGGGGTCAAAAGTATTTTACAAGGAAGCAATTAGTTGTAGCGAATTAATGATCGGTTTGCTGTTATAAGATTTTCTATGATTGAGCGGGCAGACGGGCTAATAGTGACGGTTGGTTTTGTATCTTTAGTATTCGAATTTGTTTTAGCCGCTGATTTTATGGCTCAGATCGAGTTGTCATGGAGAAAATGTTAATCAATTAGACTGTGAGTAGTGGGATCTAAAATGGTAATTACAGGGGGAGAATCGAGACTTTAGTCAGTTGAATGGACTCTTTTAAGGAGGGCGATAGTAGCAGGTTTAGGTTGAGGTTGACCTAAAGGTAGGGGTGTAATTTTAGATAAATTGTCAGAGTGGGAATTTGGGGCAGAAGTGTAAGAGGTGCTGGAAGGTGCAGTGGGGTCATTGTTTTAATTCATTAGGTACTTGGGCGAATCGTGGGTGAGTAGTGGTATCCGGTGGGTTTTGAAAGTTTTCAGCCGTATGTCCGGTTTTGGGCAAAGGAAACATTTAACTTTGTCTGATGCAACGAAGATTCGGAAGAATTTTTTTCAAAATGTATTAATACGGAGGTTTGTATTTCGAAATTTTCTTTATCTGGTATTACGTAGATAGACCGCCGAAAACTTAATATAATATGGAAATAATTTTCATCGGTGAGCCAGCACGAATTTAAGATACAGATGAGGCTAGTTGCAGACTAAGTTCGTTCTTTAATGCCTGCTCGATAAGTTGATTTTGAATCAATGAAAATAATGTTAAATTTAAAAAAATGGTGGAATTGTTTTTGAGAAGGATATCGACGTCAGAAACAGAAGCAAGAAATATGTAAATCCATTGGTTCAATATGCAAGAAGCATGGGTAATATGCTTTGGTGTTACGATTTCGCCGATCTCCTTGATGTAATCAGAGACAGCTTGATTTTTGCTAGGAGATGATGTAGCAGATGATGTAGCCGGTGTAGGTTTTGTTGCATTTAATGTGGTAATAGCTGCTTAGCTTGAAGCGGTGGGTTAAGAAAATTTTTTTTAAATATTCTGAATGCCAAAATATTTAATGAAACATTATTGTATAATATAAAGTGATATATAATCTATCTTGTAAAAGTACATACCAAGTTGTTTCACAGAAAATTTTCGCTTTTAATAATTACTTGATAACAAATCACATTAACTGACAAGTTTTTTATTAGAAATACTATTAGAAGGAGCCGGGGTGTTGACTCGTTGGATTTTCGGATAGGAATTATGCAAAATTTTAATAAACTAATTTTAAAGAAATTTGGTGGGTTGTTTATTACGTTATATTGATTTTCTAGATGAATTATGAAGGTCCTAAATATAATCTAATTGGTTGAAACACATTTAATAAGAAAAGCTATTTTGCAGCCCTAGTGATAAACTAAAACATTTTCTTAATATTTTATTACGATTTTGTTACAAAATAAACTGTTTTTAAAATTATAATCAAGAAAAGTTTAAAAAATTTTTTTAGTAATTTAAAATATTTTAATATTTTAATAATTTTCCCGACCTATTTAAGAGCAAGTATAAGTAATTATTATTACTGAAGGTATAACACAACTAATAACTTTTCCAAAAGTTCGAATGCTACCTCTCACATCAAAATGTAGTCGAATTTTCACTGATCCGCCCTGGTCCATCATTCATCATAAAGTCACAAGAAAATTAAAATTTTTCATTTTAACCTTTATTTTGAAACATACTTTATTTCTTTATTGTTTTGGCAAACGTTATCAAATATTTAAACTTTTCTCCTTTTTTGGAGCGGTGTGTTGCCATTTCTTTGTCAAATTATGTTTTCTTTCTTTGCTTAGGTGATCTCCTCCTTGAATTTAATTTATCTTTCTTATTTGTTTCCTTGTATTTATCTACTCTCTGATCTTCGGCATTTTTTAGACCAATATTTATATTTATAAATATATTTATTATTAAATATATTTATAACAATTTATAAACTTAAATTAAAATCGAGATCTAGTTCTAACAAAGATTTATTTTAGACTGCCTTATTATTCATTCCCCATCGGAAACGATAATTTCGTCACCAACAAAGAATGATTTCACATTTTCTACTTAAAAAGTCCAAACTGATAAAGGTTATTTTTACATTGTATATACAGGTCTGTCGTGAGTATTTCTTTGTTACAGTCGGCCAAACCTGACACCTTCGTGCCCTCAAAAAGCCTTTGCGACGTTTACCTGTAACAGAAACAAAAACATAAATTAGTTACAATAATAAGTCTAAGCTTCTTGGTGTAAGTTGACTTCTTCATTAGACGTATCCGAGCTTAAACCCGTTTCATATAACTTTATCTTATCAAAGGCACATATACCCTTGTATGACAGGCACGTACGTTTCGCTCCTGGCATGTCTTCTGCAACATATCGATCTTTATCGAGTACTTTTGTTATTATAAAGGGACCCTTATAGCGCTGCTCGAGCGTGGTACTTTTACCATCATTTGCGCTTTTCGCCTTCTTTACGAGCACGTGTTGCCCGACTTCATATACATGAGGACGGACATGTCTGGATTCGTAGGCCCGTTTTTGAACCAGTTGCTGTTCGGCAATCCTATCAAAAATCTCCTCTCTAACTACAGCTAAGTCCTCATGTTCATCTTCGCATACCTCAGCGCTAAGGAATGCGTCATTTATGCCTTTAAGTCGATAACCCAGAAACATCTCGTAAGGCGTCTTACCGGTAGTAGAACAAACTGTTGAGTTTATTCCCCACCGAACCTTACTAACCACTTCATCCCAACGCTTTTCGATTTTGACTGTTGTAGTCAAAGCATTAAGAATGACGCAATTTATCCGCTCTACTTGGCCGTTTGCTATTGGAGTAGCGGTGGCACACAAAACGTGTTTTATTCCGAGGCTAATGCAAAAGCTTTGGAAAGTCTGGCTTATTCGCTTGTACTGTCATAATGACGCTTATATTATTGATGAATGGCTGTCTAACTATAATAGGTATCTGTTGGGTCTCATCTGAGACAACTGAAGTCCTAACCCTAGCTTACGCTAAATCGACACGTAAATCAATACAAATCTCAAAGTTTGCAAAAAAGCATTAAACACTGTAACCACTTTACATTATTTTTACAGGTTTAAGATCCAAATTCAACATTTTGGCTTCGCTATAACGTAAAGTAACAGCACTGCTACCCGAATCAACATAACCCCTAACTAGATGGTCATTTACTTCATAATCAATAAAGTAACATGTATTATACTTAGCAGAATTGTTTTCATTCATGCACATTAATTTATTATAATTGGAATTCATGCTATTTTTAATTACCGGTAAATATAGTTCGTACTCACTTTCAGTTGTCTTGGGATTACCTGACTTCAATTTAAAACAGTTGAAGATGTCATGTTCTAGAAGAAGGCAGTGCTTGCATTCCAGTTTTTCTCGCAAACATTTCGCTGCAACATGTCCTCTGGTACCGCAATTGTACTACGGTCAACCATGCTCTACTGTTGTGCTACCTTGCTGTTGCTTTCCCACCTCCACAACCTTAGATTACATGCTTGGCTTTGTCGTCTTTCCATACTCTTTTTTGAATGTTTCTTTTCTAAGCATCTGCGGATCTTCTCTTATTGCTAACAAATACTCTTGATACAGTGACTCAGGAGACTCGTACTGCCCTGCACGTGCACCATTTCGAACTACGTTCTCATCGAATCTATTAATGAGACGTGATACAGCTTCTTTACCTGTAATACGGCAACTCCGCAGAAGCTCCATCTTTTTAAAGTAATATACTGTCATTGTCTTTATGTTTCTTTCTGTCCAACATTTTCCTCAACAATAGAGCGTAATCGTTATGATCCGGGAAGAATTTTAAAATAAGTTTTTTCCAGCCATTCCATGTGTGGTTGAACTCGGCGAGACTATGGTACCAGGACTTTGCCAGTCCGATGAGTCTTGACTGCATATGGAATATGGTAGAGACATCATCCCATCCGTTTATCTCTCTGTTAAGTTGATTGACTTTGTCTAGCCATTTTGAAGCAGACAAATTCGGATTGTCGGGGAAAAATTCTGGAATACAATCGCTACGAACAGTATCTCTAGGAGTGTTCCGTTGAACAACATCACTTTGTCTAGAAAGCTTTTCCACCATTGCTTCTAATTCCCCATCGGAAACGATAAATTCGTCACAAACAAAGAATGATTTCACATTTTCTACTTAAAAAGTCCAAACTGATAAAACGTATTTTTACATTTTATATACAGGTCCGTCGTGAGTATTTCTTTGTTACACAAGTAAAATTATTATTTTTATTAAAGTTTTACTTGTTATACTATCCATAGGATGTCTAATAAATAAAAGTAGGAAGTTTACACATAATGTATTTTTTTTTTTTCAGGAATAAGCTATAATTCTGCAGAAATTAATAAACGGTCAGGTAAGTTAACGAATAATAGAAAAACATTAAGTAAATATTTTTATACCACTTAAACAAGGTGAATTATTACTACTTTTTGTTTTTTACATGTTAGTGTTTTATATTTAGTTATAAAAAGGGTAATAAGAAGTACAATCGGACAAATTACCACTGCCTACACAGAACAGTTAAAAACCTATATAATAGCCAATTGTGTTGAGAATGGATTTGCAGATATTGAAGAAGATTTACGGGTAAGTTAGTGTTTCAAAGTTTTTGTAGTTCTTCCTTCAAATCTCGTAGCTATCTTTCAGTGACAAATCTCTTTTGAAACTATTAAAAATGGATACGCACACTTATTTTTTTGTAAAAATTCAATAAAATAAGAATATAAAATTAAAATATTAACGTATATCCTTAAAGATTGGCACAAAATATTTATCGTATTTTTTTAAGAAATTATTTAAAGCCTAACTAGTTATCATAATTCTCATTCTTCGATAACACCAAATTTCAAAGTTAATGAGTCTTTTTTCATTCGCCTTTATAATTGTCCAGGCCTCAACTCCATATAACAGGAGAGAACATATAGCATCTCAATACTCTAGTTCTAATTTCAATGTTGAGATTTACATTGCGTAATATTGCTTTTATCTTATTAAAAGCACTTCTAGCTATCCGAATACGCCGTTTTCTTTCCGTACTTCTATCCTATTCTTCATTGAGTTCGCAACCTAAGTACTGATATCTGTGCACCCTACCTAAAAGTTTTCCTTTAGCATAAACACTGTCTTCCTCAATCTTGTTCTTGCTTATCACCATGATTTGTGTTTTATTTGTATTCAGTGCCATTCCATACCTTTCGCAGTATTGGGTAATGTGATCAACCAAGATCTGTAGACCTTCTCTGCTGTCCGTAAGGAGTAGTGTGTCGTCTGCGTATCTAAGCTGATTCAGAAGTGCTCCGTTAATAAATATGCCTTGATTTTTCACGTTGAGAAGCCCTATGAATAGCTCTTCTGACGAGACCTATTAGGGCGAAATACTTATCAAGAAATACATAGGATTTGTTTGCGTGAAATCAAATATTTGCTGCCTTTTCTCATTTTATTCGGATTTGCTCTGTGTAAGTACAAGAAGCACAATTCGCTAAGGATTTCTGCTTAGTTGTAAAAGACATGTCGTGGAATGCAAATTTTAGATTCCCCATGTCTCTTTTAACATCTTTTATCAACGTCTGTTTGCCTTGCAATTTTTAGAAGGCTCAGATTATAAAGCAGAAATCTGAATTGTGTTTCGAAACTATTTTACGATTGTTGTAATTAGATGTCGCTACTGCGTCCGTATTGAAGCATGTTATTGTTGCTTCTTAAAAGGCAGAAAATATGATTTTTCACGTTGAGAAGCCCTATGAATAGCTCTTCTGACGAGACCTATTAGGTCGAAATACGTATCAAGAGATACATAGGATTTGTTTTGCGTGAAATCAAATATTTGCTGCCTTTTCTCAAAATATGCCTTCATTTAGCACAGATCCTTGTCTTACTCCACTATTTATAGGTATTTCTTTCGATTTTTGTTGGTCTATTCGTATAATGGCTACCTGATATTGGTATAGATTGGCATTGATTCTCACGTTTTCGTCATCGAATTCTGTGTTCTGCAGTATTTTTGCATTTTATTCGGTGTTGTACTTTGTCGAAAGCTTTTTCGAAGTCGACTAGACATATAAATATGTGTGATCCCAATTGGTTTTCAACTGTTCTATCATCTAGCTCTTTATAGATACGTTCGTGTGTCACTCGTAAGAACACGTATAGAATATTGTTCATCAAGTCAATTGTCCTGTGTTCTTTACACTTTATTTCGTTTGATTTTTTGGGTATTTTAATGAATATTGACATTAACCCTTCTTTTGGAATCTCTCCCGTATAATAAGTCATTAAATAATTTTATTAGTGTGCTAATATGATTTTTTGTTAATATTCTTAAGATTTCTGTAGGTATTTCATCTGGATTCCATAGCCCTCTTATTTTTTTTACGTTTTAGCGCTTTATTAATTTCGTCTTTGGTGATTGATGGCCTATGTCTTTCTCTTAATTCAATGACCTCAATTTTCTCGTCGTCTTTGAATAGCTCTTTTATGTATTCTTTCCATCCATTTGTTTATTCTGTACATTCCGTTATTATTTTGTTATTTTTATCCATGATATTTCCGATACCCATTTTCTTTTACATCAAAGCTGTCCTATTGATTTTCCGGTGTATGGTAAAAACTGTTATATTGTTTATCTAACCTTTCTATTTCTTTACACTTTTCTGGTAGCCACAGTTTCATAGCTTCTTTGATTTTCAGTTTGATTATTTTATTAATTTTTAATAGTGTTGTTCGTTTTTATGTTTGTGTGCTCTTTTTCGGTCATCAGGTCTATTATGTCTTGTGTGATCCATTGTTTATTTTTAGATGATGTGTCTTCGTGAAGTTTTTGTTTTGTGATATTTTTCATGATCTCCTCTACCTTCCTCCATTTATCTGTTGCTGTCAATTGCTTTTGCCTTTCTACTTCCTGAACTTCTTAGTTTACACTTGTTCTTTGATTTGTTGATATATACATATCAGTTTCTTTAAGTTTTCTCAGATTGATTCTCTGTATTTTGGTAGTTGTTTCTAACTTTTTTAACTTGAGTTTCATGTTTGCTAGAACTAAATTAGTCACACTTGTTATCTGATCCTGGGTACGCTTTAGCCGATATTATGGCATTTCGAAATCATCGATTTATTATTATGTAATCTATTTGGTTTCTTATTATAATTTCATTATTATTTCTAGGCGCTTTCCATGTATATATTCTTCAATTATGTTAGTTTATACCACTTGAAGGGTACAATAATACAGGGGAAAAACGATCATAGTCACAAAAAGTAAATGTTTCAGGGAGCATTTTTAAACTTTACAGACTTGTGCCGAATGTTTGATTTTTATTTTAACGTAACCTTTTAAAGATAATCATCATCGTTGCCCCCTTCACCTTGCTGTTTGTAGGGAAGGCTATTATAGAACTCTTGGGCTTCCAGTCAACAAAACTTCTTTAAGACCTGAAGGTCGCTGTACTTGGAGGTTTAAATATGAAGATTGTAGCTCCATAGAGGCTTTGGACGAGGGTTTGTTAACACTCCTTATCTGCGTGGAAGTGAACGCTCCATTGCAACTATCCCGGTATTCAATTGTTCGTGATTTTGTTTGCGAAATCTTCACTTCTCGAATGGGACGTGTTGCAGCACTAAATTTTTTCGTGTACCCAGTTGAGAGGAAATTTCCCCATAGCTCGAAGTTTTTTCTTTCAAACTTCCCAACATGAACAGACAAAGGCTTAACTCTTGCTGATGCTATAATGTTCCTCCAATCTTCAGGCATTTCGGCTGACGAACGTTTTGGGATCAAACCCATATTCTTATCGGGTTCCATGTACGAGTGTCCTCGTATAGGGAACGTGATTGTCACCTCCTTTAATCTTTTTTTAATAGCAGTCATGTATTGGAAACATCCGATTACAGTAAAGTTTTTGTTTTGGCCAACAATGAGTCGCAAAACACTTTTAGCTCCTCAACTGATTCATCTAACTAGTTTTCAATGTAGTGATTTAATATTGAGACAACATCGTCTGCTCTTTTTTTACCCTCTGTTTGTGTGTATCTTTAAAATACTGATTCAGATAATATGACTAATACGTGGACATTAAATAAATAAAAAGATAATTTGCGTTTGAAGTGTACCTCATTTGTTGATATATAGCCCAGGGAAATAAGCATTTTTTCATGACACTCGTCCGGCCAGGCAAACGACAGTTGTTTTGAGTAGTGTGAACCTCTGTAATAAAAACCTATATGTTTCCTGCAGTCGATTTTTTGGACTAAATTAGTTATTAACAAACTAAGTTCAAAAAACGGAAAATTTTTGCTTTTTTCGGCTATCAGCAAAAAGTGAAGCAATTTAAATAAATTTTAGAAGAGAAGAAACTTATAAGTTATATAAAAACCTTCAAAATGGCGTTTTCAAAATGTTTCTATCCTTATTTGTTGCTTAGAAAGTTGCAAAATAAGTCAAAAATTTCGGTTTTTTATAAATGTTAATAACTTTTTGAAATAAACTTATATTATTTATATTTCATGGAATGATGTGTCTTGTAGTGCTTAAAATAGGGTTAAAATTTCAAAGTGATCGGTCCAATAGTTTAAAAGTTATTTTATTTGTTTTTCCCAAATTAACATTTTTTGCAACAATATAAGTCAGAAATTTTATAGAGTTTTATAAATTGTAAGGGTTGTTTCTGGTAGAAGAAGACTTGTTTTGTTATTTACATTAAAAAAAATTAAGAAAAATTAATTTTAAATATTGCACAATAATTTTGCAAAAACATGTCGATTTTTTGCTTATAAACAATTAAAATAACTTTTTAACCATTGACTCTAAAAATATTATTTTTATATATTTAAAAAGCTTGAATTTTTTCACAAATTTAAATAAAAAAAAGCTTGTCCTAAAATAATTTGGTACAAAGTTAGCCTCTTTTTTATTTAATTCATAGCACCTTTGTTTATAACAATTAAGAAATCTAATTAGCGCTATTTGAAAGAATATACATTATAGTTTTAAACTACTAAACTTGAAAATTATTGCGCTTTAATGGAATCCTCCACAAAGCTTCAAAATGTATGTAAAATCCGTCGGCTTTGAAACTCTCGGGAGCTGAAGGGAGGGGGAAGGCGCTGTTAACTGTATCTCTGTTCATTTTTTATGTATTTCAACGTTTCTTTTTGAACTTGTATGTACTTTATGCGTACATTACGAATATGCAATATTTCAATAAATAAATTGACAAATAAACCGGATTTGTAATGTGGAAGTGAAGCAGATTTCAAATTTAAAATAAAATACAGGGTGTTTCATTAAAAAAAAAAACATAAGTTTGGTCTGCCACAATCTTATAGAACACCCTGTAAGATTGTAACTAATTTTAAAATGTGGAGTTTAAAGCTGTCTACAATTTTTGTCAATAATTTTTTTTGTAATTTTTACTATAACAGATCTACTGAGTTTCCTCATACTAATCAATCACCCAAAAGAGTTACCAGAAAAATTTTCTACCAAGTGACCAAAAATAAAATTTGAATAATTTATTAATGTTCTGTATAATGAGAAAGATTTCCGAAGTAGAAATCGAAACATCAAAAATAAACTTATTATAAACTTA